CCAATTGGCAGCATCAGTATGGATGGTGAAGAGATTGAGATAGTTAACAGTTTTAGTTTACTTGACTCCACAATGACCACTCTTGGTAACAGCAGCCAGGAAATCAAGAGATTAATTGCATTGGGAAAGTCAGCTGTGAGGGACCTCTCAAGAGTACTGAAGAGCAATGACGTCAGGCTGGAGACTAAGGTGCGCCTGATCTGGACTATAGTCTTCACAATTACGTGCTATGCGTCAGAGAGTTGGACAGTGAATAGGGATGACAGAAAGAGAATTGATGCCTTTGAACTGTGGTGCTGGTGAAGAGTGTTGAATATACCATGGACTGCTAGGAGAACAAACAGGTTTGTCCTGGAGAGGGTGAAGCCAGAATGCTCCTTGAAGTGAAGGATTCTGAAGCTTTGTCTGACATGCTTTGGGCATGTTGCAAGGAGGGACTGGTCCTTGGAGAGGGACATCTTGTTTGTCAGAGTAGAGGGGCAGCGAAGGAGATGAGATGGATTGATTCTGTGACTAAAGTGGTGGCAATGAGTGTGTTTGAGACAGCGAGGTTGGCACAGGATAGAACGGTGTTTAGAGCTCTTGTACATAGGGTCACTATGAGTCGCAAGCGGCTCGATGGCACATAACAACAACAAAACAACAATATGTTGTACAAATATTTTCCTATGTCATTGAATGTTCTTACTAGTTGCATTGTATCCTATCCCGTCGATATACTTTCATACATTTAACTCGCTCATTAGTGGGCAAATTTTTCACTGTTATAGGGGGGAAATGAATAGATCGCCTCTTGCTCGCCTCTTTATTTGCTTCCTGACTATGAAACTTCTAGTCAAAGGAGGCATGCCATTTTTCCCGGCTTCTAATACATGAAGACTTGCCCTGTCTAGCGCCTGCCCCTGATCTCTCATATGCTCGGGCCTGTTCTGACAGTCACCGCATCAATTCAGCATCAGTCCATCCTGTTGCCAGTCTTCTCTCTTTCTCTGACCCTCTGTCTTCCCCAGATTGATGGCCCCTCCTGACTGAGATGATATTTCATCATTCTTGCCTCTGACACACACGCTGGTTGTACTTCCTCCAAGACAGACTTATTTTGTCTTTTGTCCATCTGTGGGCTATTCAGTCCTCTCCTCTAACATCACAGTTCAAAGACATGAACCCTTCCCTGTCATCTTTATTCCGTTCCCGCACATAGTAGGACTTCTTTCTAATCTCTCTATTAGGATCAACTAAAAGTTTGTTATTTATATACCAGTGTGATACCATTTTAATTCTTGAAGCTGTGCTTCTTAATATTTAAGAGAGTTACTTCTTACCATTGTTGTTAAGTGCCATCAAGTCATAGATGACTTATAATGACCCTATGAACGAAAGACCCTGAACACTTGTCTAACTCACCACTCATAACGTCCTCAGATTAGTCTTCCCTCTCAGAGTAATCTTAGCTCTTCACAAATGTTTCTTTCCTACATGAATTTTACAATTATTTACTTTCTCTCAAATCCTTAAGACTTTCAATGAAATTGTTGTTGATTGCCCTCTAGTTGAGCACGACTCACAGCGACCCCAGGAACAAAAGGCCTGAAGCCCCTCTACAACTGTCGACATTTATCAAAGTTTGCAGGGTTTCCAGAGGCATGTTGTTTAGGAAGTGGATGCTACCCCTGCTGCCAATTAAAGATATTACAGCGGATTTATAGCTTGAAAAATTTGCATCTACAATATTGGGCAAGCCTGTTGAAGAAAAATATATAGGCATCAATTTATTCAGCTTTTTTATTGTGCATTGAAAATTGAGAATTTTTCTGTTCTTTAATACTTTGTTCATTTTATTCCTTTTAATATACATCCTGTACTTTTCATCCTAAGTTTACTCCTTGGTGTTTTATTTTTCCTGGCAATTAAGAAATATCTTAAAGTGGTAATTTTTCTTGAACACCGAGCTTTGTCCTAATGGTGAGCATAGATAATATATTTAAAAGCACCACAAAAACCTTGTGTCATTTTTAGCCTCTTTTTTTGTTAGGAAATGTCCCCAAAGATAAATATTGTGGTCTAGAGCAGAGCCAGAGTCTCTCCCTTTTTTTTTTTTTTAACAAAGCATCTTCAATCCATTTTCCATCTGGGCTATTTTTGAATAGAAATGGAGAGACACATTTCAATGTGAAATAAATTATAAATCGAGACAGAATCAACCATCAGGCTACAGCACTGAATGTCACAACTATGTGCTGAGCAGTTCATTAAGTCCTAGAAAATCATCCAAACTTTACAGACGGAGCCAGCACTCAGAACCATTATGCACACAAGTGGAGATCCAGCATCATTTAAAGTGATAGACACGAGCCATGCAGAGAACAGAGACCCCTCTGCAGTTCCGCTGCTGCCCTACTTTTCTGTGGGATGGCAAACAAATCCACGATGTGTACTTGCATTACGCACGTCAGCACCAAAGCAAACTCATCGTCTCCCAAATCGTAGCTTCTCATACGAAAACCCAGACTGCTCGCCTTTGTTTTTTGCTATATATTTTAACAGAAATGTATTATCATTAAAATGATGATAGGGAAAAATAGCGCATTGTTAAAGATCGCTCCAGGGAGCTCCGGTGGCCAAGTGAGTAAGAAGTTGCACAGCCAGCCCAAAGGTGGGTGGCTCGAATCCACCAGCTGCTCTGACAAAGATGGGCATCTCCTCTCCGGGGATTGGTGCCTGTGAAAAGCCCCTGGTGGAGGATCAGCTATTCATCAGTTCCGACTCAGCGGCGGTTACTTTGACTTTGACCTGAATATTGCTTCACGTGAACAATTTTCCTACAAACAAGCTCTTAACTGATAACTTGGTGGGCACACTGCTTTTCCTTTTCTTCTAACATAAACTTTTTCTTAAAATTTTTTAAAATTTTATTATTTTGTGTGTGTGTACCATCAAATCGGATCTAACTGGTACAGGGGGAGATTGCCCCTCCTCCAGCAGAGCATCTGGTAGATTCGAACCTCTTACCTCTGGAATTGCAGTGCAGCTTCTTGCCACTAGGCCACCAGAGCTCCCCACAGATATATTTTCTTGGCTCAGTTCTCAGCTTAGTTAGACCTGATCCAAATAAGTTATTATTACATTTGCCTTATCACCATGACATGTACTGTCCTTCACATCTGACAGAATAAAATTGCTTTAGCTGTCTGAGTAGTCAGTGTCTGATCCCTGAAATACATCTACATCTCTTTCTTTGAAAAGCTTTTCTTGTCTAATTAGGATGCATTATTGTTGTTGTTGTTGTTGATTGCCTTCGAGTTGAGCATGACTCATAGTTACCCTATGAACAAAAGGCCTGAAGCCCCTCTACAACTATCAACATGTATCAAAGTTCATAGAGTTTCCAGAGGCAAGTTGTTTAGGAACTGGATGCCACTCCTGCTTCCAAACCTGTCAAGACTTTGAGTTTTTAAACTCAATCTTATTATGACCATGGTGCCAGATTCATTTATTTTAAACTAATTGTGTATAAAGAAAAAATATAGATTAACACTAAAATGAGATGCTCATTTTTTCTTCTATACAATTGGTCAAGCTTTTTTCTGGAGTTGACAGTGCTGGAGATGGCAAAGACAGTCCTAATTAGATAACCATACAAATTAAAAAAATATCATACGTAATGAATTTGTGTTTATTGAAACACTTATTTTTTTGTGTTTTTTTATTTTATTGATTTTCCTATTATAATTCCTTTACATTATGTTTCATTTATATACATTGTGCTTTATGCAATCTTTCATTTACATTGTATTTCATACAATGATTCATCTATTTTATTTTACATTATTTTCACACTATTCTTCATTCATGCTGTGTTTCAAACAATCATTCTCATGCATTAAGTTTTCTATTCATAGTCTATAGTAAAATATTTGGTTATTTAAATTTAATAAAAATATTTACTACATTCCACATTATAAATACTTGTGTAAACCCATGTTTATTTAGCTAGTAATAGGGCTACAACGTAACTACTTTGACACTGCTGTCAGGGGCTTCTCCAGAGCACTGAAATGCAACTGTTGTCAGTCTAGAAACTAAAAGTGCTTAATTCAGGCCATGGTCTTCATAATTACTTGCTATGCATCAGAGAGCTGGACAATGACTAAGGATGACAGAAGAAGAAACAATGCCTTTGAATTGTGGTGCTGGAAAAGAGTCTTGAACCTAGCGTGGACTGCCAAGACAATAAACAGGTCTATCTTGGAGAGGGTGAAACCAAGTTTCTCCTTGGAGGCTAGGAGTGTGAAGCTCTGTCTCACATGCTTTGGGCACGAGACCAGGAAGGACTGATCCTTGGAGAAGGTCATCATGCTCAGAAGGGTAGAGGAATGGCACAGGAAAGGAAGACCCCATATGAGAGAGATTAATACAGTAACTGGGGCTAGTGGGTCAGAATTAGTGAGACTGGCTCAGGACAGGGCAGGCTTCAAAGCTGCTGTACATACATTAGCTATGGGTTACAGGCGACTCAACAGCACATAACAATAACAACAGCCCAGCTGTCAAGTTCACATATGACACATCCCTCCTTGACATACTTCTTCATGTATTGCAGGATAAACATATCTTCTTGGTTGTATTTATATGTGAATAATTTATACAAAATCTAGTGTGTGAGTTCTTTTATATCAGGCAATCTGAAGAGAGGAAAGTAATAAGGACATGGTCTCTCAAATAATTTACATTCTAGAAATAGAGACAAGCCCATTAAAAATAAAGAAGGGCAGCAAGATCTGGTGGCCTAGTGGCAAAAAGCTGCACTGCAACCCAAGCAAGAGGTGAGCAGTTCGAATCCACCAGATACTCTGCTGGAAAAGGAGGGACAATCTTCTCCTGTACCAGTCAGATCCAATTTGATGATGCACACACAAAAAATAATAAAAATTTTTTAAAAAAATTAAAAAGGGCGCAAAATATTTCAGGTCTATTGATAAAGTATAAATAAAGTGAAATGGAAAAGGGGAATGTTTAAGTCTTCCAGGATGGATGGGGAGAAACTGGGAAACGGGTGAAGGGTGAGCCATGGAAAGCTTTATACAGATGACCTCATGCCGGTCCTTCAGGCCAGCAGATGGGGAAACGAGCAGCCTTTTCTGCCCAGCCACTCTTTACATTCTTTGGCTACACTTATCATAGCCAAAAGGTCAAGAAGCAACTCCTGCATACTTTTAAAGCACACTTTGCATTTCTCATCATTGTAGTTAATTCGTTATTTGCTGTGTAGGATTTATTCATGTCATTCATTCAAGGATTACTTATTCACCATTGTCTTCGCCCACCAACTTGAACTCAAATCTGAAAGACTCCATGTGATTCTTACCTTAAAGTTCAACACAGTCCTTGCCCCAAAGGAAGGAAGGAAGGACAGTGTTAATGTTCAGAGCACAGTAGTGAGAGAGAGAGAACATCCTGGTGGGAGTCTCTCATTCTGCTCGCTGCATGACCTTGATCTAGTTACTTGACCTTTCTTCTGGCCTTAGTTCCTTTCTCAGCAAAGTGAGGGTAACACCCTTTCCAGTGCTGTGGAGGGTTTAGTGAGGAAATCTTTGCAAAGCATTTAGCATGTTGGTGGAATTGTACTTAGAAAGCCAATTTTATTGTCTAAGAGTCTGACCACCTTATGCCAGCTTCCAAGGACATAGAGAAAAACAAAATCTTTCTCTTCAGCAATTAAAACATTCAAGTACCATAGCAATATATATGGAGAGAGTCACTTGTTCACAATCGACTGTGATGGTTGGGAGCCTGGATTACGTTGTCCTTAGAAAAAATAACTTCAACAAGCTGCATTTTCCTCACTTTCTCAATTTGGGCTGCATTTGTTTTCTAGTCTTGTCCTTGGCTATCTCTCCGACCCAAGTGAGGACATCCAGGACCCAGTGAGTGACAAATTCTTCAAAGAGATTTGGGTTTCAACAGCAGCTCGAAATGCTACAATTTATGATAAGGTAAATTTCATGTTTCTTCTTTTTTTCCATTAACTATAATCACATGATACATATTATTATTTCTATATTATATCTGGCACTGCAGTTGGTAACATTGGAAAGTAAAACTCAAGCTCACTGCCCTTGGGTAGATTCAGATTCATAGCAACCCTCCATTGAGTTTCAGAGGCTGTAAATCTTAGTGGGAGGAATCTGCACGTCTTTTTCCCAGGGAACCACTGATGTGCCAGAGACCCGTGGCATTTTGGTCACTGGCCCAAAAAGAAGTCAAAAAGCATTCTAAAGAACTGAACATGTCTGATGAGGAAAGGAAGCGAAGCCAGGGGGACTAAAAAGTGAGGGAGGCCTGGATTCAAATCTTGCTTAACCGGTGAAGCACACTATCTTGACATCCTCAGCCTTCCTTTCTCTCCTATTGTTTTTGGTCAAACATTCTTCTAAGTGGTATAGCACTAGTCTGTCCATTTGCTGTACAGAGGTAACTTGTGGTTGCTGTGATGCTGAACACTGACACGGATGTGTCAAATGTGATAATGGTCACCCATGGTGGACAGTGTTTGGTGGTGCTCCCTGATTAATGCAAGCTTGGAAGCAGGAGTGGCATCTACTTCCGAAACAGCTTGCCTCTGGACACTCTATGAACAAGAAGAAACCATGAAAGTTACACAAGTGTTCATTCAGGTCTTTTGTTCATAGGGCCACTATGAGTCACCTACGACCCAATGGCACTTAACAACAAACAACAGTAAGACTGAGAGTCCTTGCCACTAGTTGACTCTGTTGTTCTTGTTGTTGTTGTTGTTGTTGTTATGTGCCGTCGAGTCGCCTGCGACTCATAGCGGCCCTATGTACAACAGCCCTAAACCCTGCTCTATCCTGTGCCAATCACACTGCCTCCAACACACTCATCCTGATTACCCCAGTCACTGAATTAATCCACCTCATAGAGGGTCTTCCCCTCCTGCACCGTCCCTCCACCCTCCCAACCATGATGTCCTTCTCCAAGGACCTGCCCCTCCTTACAACATGTCCAAAGTATGTCAGACGAAGCCCCAGAATCCTTGCCTCCAAGGAGCAGCCTGGTTTAACCCTCTCAAGGATTAATCTGTTTGTTTTCTTGGCAGTCCAGGGTACCCTCAATACTCTTCTCCAGCACCACCGCTCAAAGGCATCAATTCTCCTTCTATCCTCCCTAGTCATTGTCCAACTCTGGTGCATAACAAGTGATTGCAAAGACCACAGCCTGTATCAGACCTACCTTAGTCTCCAGAGAAACACCATTGCTCTTCAGTATCCTGGAGAGGTCTCTAACAGCAGACTTTCCCATCGCAATATGTTTTTTTTTATTTCCTGGCTACTGGTGCCAAGAGTGTTGACCCTAGGGTTAATGACTTGTTTAGATAAGATGTAAGAATCTAATTGCAACTTTGGAAAAATGAGCCGAAACTCCCATGTTTTTACCGCATGTAAGAGAAGTAACTCTGAAATGCTGGTGCATAAAACTAGTATGTCAGCTTGCATACATCGCTTTATCTTAACACCATGATCAAATAGCTGTGTATGGAATTCTTTAAAATGTAGTTTTATAAATGCAGTGCTGTCTTGATTGGTCCCCCAGCCGGGGTGGAGGGAACAGCTAACAACAACATATAACCAGTATGTCACAGTGCAACACTTGTGTCAGTGGGAGTGTTTTCCCTATAAAAAGGACAGGCCTCTGCCAAAGCTTATTGCACTACGTCTTTCTGTGTGTGTTAAATAGGTGTTCCGGTGCCTCCCCAGTGACGAAGTCCACAATTTAATTCAGTTGCGAGACTTTATCTGCAAGCCAGTCATGGCGAGAGAAGATCCAGTCAGAGCTGAGGAAGAATTGAAAAAGATCCGTGGGTTCTTGGTGCAGTTCCCCTTTTACTTCTTGTCTGAAGAAAACCTGCTGCCTTCTGTTGGGACCAAAGAATCCATGGTGCCTATGGAAGTTTGGACTTAGCAAGAATTTATACTCTTTTTTTTTGTGGCCCAAAGACTTTCATCCTGAAAACCACACTGCACACAGTGACTTCCTGGAGACCTCCCTGCCAAAGCGGGCGCGGACACTTGCATGTTCCCCACCCACTGACCCATTAGGGAAAGTGTCAGGGACTGGCATGGACTGGCTTGGAAGGAATCCAGCTGTGTGCATGCAGGGACATTGCATGTGGACGGGGCTCTGGAGTTCCTCCAGCCCAGCCTTGTGAAACAGAGCCTGAACTGCTGGTGGAACGGCACAGCATAAACGTATGCGCAGACCCCATGGTGCACACAGAACGCATTTCATTTGCCGGTGAGGATTTACCTGTGGCCAAATGTCTGAGCTTGCTTTACTCTTCTCTGATCCTCATTTGTCCAGCGAATGTCTACTGGGCCTGCCCTAGTCTTGTTTGTACACCAACGTGGGCAGGGTTTGAGATGCTGTTTGCTACTGGACGATGTTCTGATGCTGTTTCTAGATTCATGGGAGCCTTGTCTGTCCTATCCTGTAATAGTAATTCTCCTTGACAAAGGATATGATTGCTAGACATCTTTAGTGACTGAATGGACAGAGCAGACTTTAATCCACTTAATAGCCATTCTGGGTACTTGTGATAGCATCAAACTATCTGTTCTGATGTCTAGTTTCTATAGGAATGAGATTCCCTTACAGAGGCAGAGGTTTGTCTTTGCCCCCAAAGCCACTCATAGGATACATCTTTCTGATAGGGCATGCCTGCTCAAACCTGAAAATATGTGTAGTGGATTGGTTTACACAGCAACAAAACATAAGTCAGAGACGGCACACCACCTTCAGATACTTCTAGGGTGCTGATGGGGCACTGATCTGAATAAGAAGAGAAGATTTCTTACAAGCTTGTAAAATTTCCTGTCAAATTTGGAGTGGAGAGATTGATTGAAATTTAAGTTTCTGCGTTTTAGCATCAAACCTGTGAGCTCCATTTGTCTTTCCAGAAAACCAGAGGCGACTTAACTTCCACCAGGTTAATGAGTATTTGTCTAACCTTGTGTGACGTTGAGCTCTTCTCCCATGTTACCTCCTTTAAGAAAAATTATTAGACTGCAAACTATGTGCTGCTTTGCTTGCATTATTAAATACACATTAACATTCCATGAGGGCTTCCCAAGAAGTTCAGATACTCAGCAATTTCCAACATCCTACTCTGAGAATTGTTCTGGAAATCCTGCTTTCTGTTTTGGGGTTTGGGAATCTCCTTTGGCATGCCAAAGCTCTAGTTTGACGAGTCGTATTTTTAGAAGCACTAACGTGGGTGCCTGCACAGCAAGGTAGGGGTAATGATTATAAATGTCCATGGGCTAGCCAGGCAAAGTCTCATCTGAGTTGTTCTTCTAACTCTGTATGTATGGAGCTAAATTCATTGCCCTCTATTTGGAAGCAGCTCACAGCTGACCCTCTGTTTCTCATGGGAGGAGATCGCCTATCTTTAGCTCACACAGGAGCTGGTGGATCGAGACCCCCAGAGAAACATATCCTTTGGGTGGACAGCTTAACTCCTTACAGACTACTCCACTGGAGTTCCTGATGGAGCTACTTATTCAGTCAAGAAGTTAAACAGGAGAACACGAGTTAGTCGAGAGAAATTCCAGGTCTGCAGGCAGGAGAGGGTTGAACAGCGAGATACCACATTATAAATGAAGTCGGACAGGTGATCAACAATGGAAAGAATGGCGATATGAATAAATAACTTATTTTTAAATGACAACAAATGAGAGGAAAAAAGCTTTGTTCTATAGCAGTTGCAAAGAAGACTTTTGCTATTTATGAAGGAACTTTTGCTTGGCATGTAAAGGACTTAGTGTATGTAGAATGCTTAAGGATTTTTTAATATATGTTTTATTTGTAAATCACTTTTTTTAACCATACATTAGTCGGCCAACTGGCTCTTGTGAAAGATGTTCATGTAAAACCATGAACATGAGAAGTTTTTCCAGTCAGTTATTCCAGCCTCCATCGCAATCTGCAGTTGAAGAAAGTGAGGCCCTAACTGGCTGAAATACTCAGATTCATCCGATTTACAGGTGGTGTTACCCGGACATTAACGATTCTGTGGTTCATCGTTGACTTCTTTTACGTCATTGCTACTCATAATTACATGTAAGCGATTTCAGACTGATGTCGCAAATCTATTTTTGAACCCTGTGATATTGTATTTATGCGTTGATTGGTCTGTCTCTTCATACTACAATGTAAGGGGACAAGGACTTTCTATGTCTTGTTCCCAGTGGTTCACCAGATTTGAAACAGTGCCTACCACACAGTAAGTGCTCAGGAAATGTTTGTGAATAAATCACTGAGGTGGCGGAGAGAGTTAAATTAAAAATTACTGCATCTCAAATGAAAAAAAAAATCTTACTACTGGTTTCCCTGTCAATTTCATTTCGACTGCATCTTCTGGAAGGCAAGATGAAATTGAGAAGGTGTAAGATTTACCTAGAGGGGTTTTATGGAGAATGGAGTACAATAATTGCAATAGCAGCTTACAGAACATTCTGTAAAATTCACATGGAAATAGACACAATTGGTACTATTGACTCACCCATTCTTACCTGACATCGTCACTGCCTAATTGATTCATTCTTATTGTCATGAAGTCAGAACCAAATCACAATTGACCCTTCAGTGGGTTTTGTTGTTGTTTGGTGACCCTAAGTACAACTCATAGTACCCTATGAACAAAAGATCTGAACCCTGTTCTGTCCTGCGCCATCCTCACTGGTATGAGATGGTATCTGTGGTTTTTATTTACATCTCTCTTATTGCCAGTGATATTGAGGATTAAATCTTGATAATCTTTTATCATTTTTGTTTTTCAAGAAGTAAAAGTCCTATTATTACAAGGAATGAAATGTAGTGTGTGATTGTGGCTTATTCGTGGCAGTTATACTGGCCACTTTCAGCCACCAGACAGAATATAGTCTGTTGAAGGCAGCTGCTCCTGTCTCATGTTTATCCCATGATTCACTGTACAGGAACATATTTTTAATTTTCAAAAGCAGGGCATTACAGAGAGAGCTAAACAACAAGAACAAAAACCCCATAAATAAAACAACAACTCTCACTGCCATTGTGTCAGGACCAACTGATGGCTGATTCTTCAGTGGACTTTCATCTTACTGCTGTGTTATTCACAATAGCAGAGAGATAGAAGCAGCCCACCTGGCCATCAACAAATGAACAGATAGAAAAACTGTGGTACACAATGGAATATCACACAGCATTGAAAAAACAATGAACATGCAAAAGCTTGGGTGAGCCTAGAAGACATTATGCTGAGTGAAATATCTCAGTCACAAAAGAACAAATACTGCGGCAATGAAGGAGTGAAAGCCCAGAATCCCTGTGAATGTTCATTGAAACTAATAAAATTTAATAATAATAAAAAAA